GGGGGAACAGCAGCTGGATGATGGTGAGCACGAGACACCGCCGTGCCTACGGCGTGATGAGCGCCGGCCACAGCAGGTACCACGCCAATGGCCGGGGGTTGCGCGGAGGCTGGCGGAGCCGGGGGGGTCGCAGCTAGTTGTGGGGGGCGAGGTTGAATAGGAGGGGGGGAGGAATGGTGGTGCGGGACGAACACCCATGAAGTGCCATCCCATCGAGGCCGCGCAGCCCACACATTGGGATCCAGCGGCCGCCGATGGTGCCAGCTGGCAGCCTCCGCTTCCCTCGCCGCTAGATGACGGAGATGAGACCTGTACTTTTGCAAATGGGAGGCTATGTTGTGTCGAGTCAGACACTCCACCCCCATCAGCTCCAAGATTCTCGACGGAATAGCCTTATCCACTCCAAGCTGATCGACTGCCTGTACGAATCTTCTGTGAAGATCTGGTGTCCAATCTACTTTCACCTTCCTCCTTCCACTGCTGCTGGCCGGGTTGCCCTTACCTCCTCCTCCTCCTCCTCCTCCTCCTCCTCCTCCTCCTCCGCCTCCGCCTCCTCCTGCTGAGGATGCAGTTGTAGGCTTTGTTCCATTTGGAGTTGTTTCCCCCCGACTGCTGTCCTCACATGTCTCTCCCTTGGCCTCCACGCCCCTTCGCCGGCTATCTACCGATTTCTGCGGATCATCTCCCATCACCACAGTCGAATGCCGCCCCCCTCCTCCTCCTCCTCCTCCTCCTCCTCCTCCTCTTCCTCGCAGAAGATCAACGCCTTCCGCCTCCGGTGAGTGCTCCCTCTCTCCTCCTCCTCCTTCCCGCCCTCCGCCGTCTGTTTCCAGCCGCATACCGTCTACCTCGTCCCTTCTTGTGCCCATTGAATCACGTACCACCTCTCCTCCTCCTCCTCCTCCTCCTCCTCCTCCTCCTCCTCCACACAACGACCCGCACGACAGCTCAGACCATGCCTCGTGCGAGGAAAAGACCACCGCCCTCCTCTGTCCCCCCATACTATGACTGACTCGAGGTGACCCGAGGTTGCCGTTCTCGGAGACAACAAGCATGATCCTCGCGTCGTCGTCCAGATCGCCCACACCTTCTTCCCTCCCCATGATCTCTCCTCCTCCTCCTCCTCCTCCTCCTCCTCCTCCTCCTGCTCGTCGGATGGCATTCTTCCGCATATCTATGGTGTCATTGCCGGCGGCAGAAGGGGCAACATTGACCCTTTTACAGTCCCCGCCTATGCCTCCTCCTCCCCCTACAAATTCTCCTACTTCTACTCCCATCATTTGAAAATCGTCATCTTCACCCCCTCGCCTTTCTCCCATTTCCTCTGCTTGCATGCTCTCCTCCTCCTGTACCCCTCCCTTCTTCTTTCTCCCCCCACCTCCTCCTCTTCCTCCTTCTGCTTCTCCCTCTCCTCCGCCTCCTCCTCCTCCTATTGCTTCTCTTTCCATTCCTCCATTTGCAAGGAACACACCACCTCCCCTGTTGACACTCTCCACGTGCAGGTGCGCGAACATCCCCACCGAAGAATCTGAGTCCGGCGGTGAGGACCCCTCTAGAACGGAGTTCATCTCGAAGTTATCTCTGGAATCAACGCTCCCGAATAAATGGTCCAACGACACTGGCTCCGCAAAACTCTCCCCTGTCAGGATCCTGTCCTCCTCATCATAATCAATTTGCTCCTCCTTCGGAGCTATCAGATGCAGCCCGCTCGCCTCTGTGATGAGCGCATCTCGCGCCTCTCCGTTCGCCATCACATGATTCGCTCCTCCTGCCGCCGCTGCTGCTCCTCTTCCGCCGCCCCCGCCGCCGCCGGCAGGCGGAACATTGCCGGCGCAGTATGCTAACGACGGCAATGACCCATTGATACTCGAAGAGTCGTCGGTCATGATGGTAGAGCCAGGCTCGCAGAGAGGAGGAGGAGGTGGTCGTTTCCTCTTCTTGCGGTCAGCAGAGGAAGTCCGACGGGGCTTGCGCTGACCATCGCCGCCGGCGTCGTCCTGCGCCTCCCCGTTGTCGCCGTTTTCCGCTTCGTCTTCATCGCCCCTGTCGGAGGGGGAGCTCGCCTGGTCCGCGTGACGGTGCGGCTGATAGGACAAGTGCCGACAAGAGGAAGGAGGGAGGGGGGAGGAGGAGGCAGCAGCAGCAGCAGCGGCAGCAGCGGCGGCGGTGGCGGCGGTGGCGGTGGCGGAGGGAGGAGCCGTCGTGGCGGAGGGAACAGGTGCGGCGGAGACGGGGGAAGCGGGAGCGATGAACCGCATGACAGAGGTGTCGCCCATTTCAATGGCTTTCCTCACCACGTGCTGCCACACATTGCGAATTTGTTTGTCCGTCAACGGTTTTTGAAGCACGTCGGCTGCCCCTGCAGCGATCCCCAGCATTGTCAGATTAAGATTATCTACCCCAGACATCAAGATGACCGGCATGTCCTTGGCGTTGTTGAGCAGAGTGAAGCAGTTTATCCCTTCCCCAGAGGAGATTGCTTCCACCAACGCCACGTGAAACACCGCACGCTCCTTGTCCCCCTCCTCCTCCTCCTCCTCCTCCTCCTCGTCCTCATCTTCGCCTTCTCCGTTTGCTTCCCCTGCTTCCACTCCTTTGCGAATGGCTTTCAGTGCCTCCTCGCGACACGTGCATGCATGCACGACGTACCCGTGTGACTCTAGCTTACCCCTCACTTCCTCAACGAAATGGCTATCTTCATCAAACAGCAGCACTCGCAATCCGATTGGAAAATTCGTCAAGTGCCGGAATTTGTCCCTGCGAGCCCTCCTCGTTCCTGCTAACATCGCTGCGTAGTAGCTGTGCTTCACTCTCTCTCCCTCCCTCCCTCCCTCTCTCCCTCCCTCTCTCCCTCCCTCCCTCTCAGTCTCCCTCCCTCCCAGTCTACCTCGCTCCCTCACTCTAGTTTTCCACACCGGCCAAACTGCACCGAGTCCTTCTTAACACCACCACCACTGTCCACGTCTTCTTCTTCTTCTTCTTCTTCTTCTTCTTCTCTTCTTCGTCTTCTTGTCTGTTGCTGAAGTGCTTTGAGAAGTTGAGGCGTGGATTAGGACAATAAAAACGAGGGATTGAGAAGAAGGCACGTGTTGCGCATCGTCGCGCTTACTTTGGACGTGCGATTGAACAGCCACGACGAGTCAATGGCCACGTGTCACAAAGCTAGCCGTTTGGTGGCATCCCACGTGGTCAGACAGCCACACCTGTGAGCACAGACCCCTACCGCATCGCCACGTGTCAGTGGCCATGCACGTGTTCGGATTGCCACGTGTCAGCTATGGCAATGCACGTGTTCGGATTGCCAGGTGTCAGCTAGTGATGCGTCGGCTGGTCGGGGAAGGATAAAGACAGAGGAGTCCCCTGGTCGGATTGCCACGTGGCAGTGAATGGATGGATACTGAAGCAGAGAGCGAGATTGGTGATGATGACGATGGGGATTATTATAGAATGGGGTAGGCGGTGGAAGAGGAGCAGTAGTAGTCGCAGGAGAAGGAGGAGGAGGAGGAGGAGGAGGAGGAGGAGGAGGAGGAGGAGAAGGAGAAGGAGATGGAGCAAGGAGGAAAGGAGGAAAGGAGTTCTGGCGAAAGTGGAAGGAAGAGAGGGGAGAGGGGAGAGGGGAGAGGGGAGAGGGGAGAGGGGAGTAGAGAGGAAGAGCAGATAAGGATTATAATCAATGGATTTAGCTTCAGTTATCCCCTCACTCAATTTAATTAGCTAATGAAATTATATTGATAATGCATGACCACATAGGCCGGGGGGTGTACCAGAGACGAAAAGAAGGGCAATGGTTGTGATAATAACAGTCTTAGAGNCATATATATATATATATATATATATATATATATATATATATATATATATATATATATATATATATATATATATATATATATATATATAATCTCATCTGTGGTCCATCGGGCAACATGAGAAGTCCGAAAGTTGGTCGCCTGGCCGAGGTCCCACTAGCAATAGGATTGGATTAACAGTCTGAATCTGGACGTGTTCTATGCAAAGATGGAGAAACAAGCAGATCAGTCCCCATGTTCTCCACCTCTCCACGAACATGTCCAGGTACCTCTTTGCTTGTGGCACCTCGCCCCCCCCCCAGCTTTACTCAGTACCTAGATGCTGCTCCGTGTTGTAATGTTCTCTTTTTTTTTCTTTTTTTTTTGAACAGGGGCACGCGCGCGCACCACAGAGAGAGAGAGAGAGAGAGAGAGAGAGAGAGAGAGACATTAGATACACACTAGTTGATTGCTTTTCTGACTTGCTTTCTTTGTGGTTTTCTTTGGTGCATTGGATTTGAGGCATGTTGCGGTCCATTTTTTGGGCCTGACCGGTGATGTCTAGCCCTTAAATAGGTCCGCAAAGTTTTTTTTTGTAGGGGACGCCAGGCCCGTTTCCTGGCACTGAAATATAAGGGACGTCGGCCCCGGTTCCCGGATGTTAAAAAAAAAAAAAATGCAAAAGGATATTTCAAAAAAAAAAAAAAAAGAAAAAGGTTCAAAAGGATTGGAGAGGAGCACATGTGAATCATAGATCAGTGGTAGAGACTTCTCTGCAGGCCCTCCTAGTCTGTTGTAACTGTAAGCTAAGTTAGCTGATGCTGTCAGATACCCCCGGGTTCGAAAATTGTGAGGTCCCGGCAAGAGGGCTCAATTGCAAGTTAAAGGGGAAAAAAAAAAAAAAAAAAAAGGGAGACGGGCTTGAGATATCATCATTGAGCTGACCGACCCCAGGCATTTCAGGCAAATCAGAAATATCTAGTTTTATTTTATTAATCTACAACCATCATCTGGATTCATACTCTGGTCTGCATTTCAACAGTCCATGGGTGTACCCACTGAGGCTTTTGGGTTCATTGCAAGTTTTTTCAATCCGAAAAGAAGAGGAAAGAAAAACAAAAACAAAAATCAGTCACTGTGGCATCCCCAATCATGGATCCGTAAAACTAAAACTAAAAATAAAAACTTAAAAATAAAAATAAAAATAAAAAAAATTATAAAAATTATAAAAATTATAAAAATTATAAAAATTATAAAAATTATAAAAAAAATAAAAATAAAAAGAAACAAGAAACAAGAAAAAGAGAACGGGATAGATAACACGGCCAACTCGTTTTTGAAGAAGAAGAAGAAAATTCAAGTTGTAAAAAATAATAAAAAAAATTAAAAATATATATTAAAAAAAAAAAAAATCAAGTTGTACAGAGACATTTGAAGAAGAATAAAAATTATTGGGCGGCCTAGCTCAGTTGGTGAAGGCGCGCAAGTGGCATTCAGGAGGTCTTGGGTTCAATCCCCATTGGCCGCATGCACCTTCCTAGGCAAGCTTGGCGCCAGCCACCTAGAGATATGCCATTGGGCCACCCGAGTGGCATTGAGCAGAGACTGCTGATGTTCATAGGGGGAGGGGACCGGAGGGGAGGCACAGTGACGACTGGTTCATCGAAGAAGCCAATGTGTAGGTCTTGATGCTACCATCAGGCTGACCCCTGGCCGGTATCGCCCACCCGCTGTAGCAAGCAGGTATCGCACCTGCTGGTGGGTGCAGCTCCTCCATGTTCCCTGGCTGGAGACTTGAGCATGGATGTGGCTGCGACGGGGTTCCCCGTAATACTATAATGACAATAAAAAAGGCCTGAAAGGCCGTCCCTGTCCAGATTTGACAGGTAATTGAATTGGTTGGGCTTAAAGAATTATCT